GCCAGGAGTATCTAATGTTTTATCACCTTAGATTTCGGTGAGGTATTTTAGCAGTTTAATCACATACAATACCGTTGGTGGGTTTTTTTTTTTTTTGCCTAGGCCGCCCTTTCGGGTTTTCAACCTAGCAGGCTTTCTTAAGGGTAATATCTCTTCAAGAACCTTGCATTGGTTGGGGGAATGATTCTGTCACCATCCATCGTTATCAACAAATAGGCCCCATTAGAATAAACCTTCTCAATCACATAAGGTCCTTCCCATTTGGGCTCAAGCTTTCCTTTGGTTCTTCGTGAGACTATTATGGGTGTTCTAACCATTAGTACCAAGTCTCCCTTTTTAAAGGAGCGAAGCCTCACCCTTTTATTGAACGCATTTGCCATCCTTTGTTGATAGATCTCCAAATTCTGTTGAGCATACAACCTTCTTTCATCTAGGGTCTCGAGCTTAGCCAACCTCACTCTTGCGCTTTCATCTTCCGTTAAGGACTCTTGTATTGCCACTCGCAATGATGGTATTTGAACCTCAAGTGGTAACACTGCTTCTCCTCCAAAGACCAATGAATAAGGGGTTGCTTGAGTAGGAGTTCTGTGCGAAGTCCGATAAGCCCACAAAGCTTCTTGTAATTTCTCATGCCAAGCTTTTTTGTTCTTATCCACCATTTTCTTGAGAATTTTGCACAATGTCTTGTTGAAAGCTTCTGCCAAACCATTGGCAGGTGCATGATATCTTGATGAATGGTTGTTTTTGATTTTGTACTTAGCAAATAACTTGTTCAAAGTATCACTCCTGAACGGCTGTCCATTATCCATGATGATACTTTCTGGAATCCCGAACCTGTAAATGATATGCGTTCGGATGAACTCGGAGACAACTGTGCTTTTTATATCCTTTAAAGCCACGGCCTCTGCCCATTTTGAGAAATAGTCAGTTGCAGCTAGGATGTATCGATATCCTGCTGAAGATGGAGGTACGAAAGGACCAATAATGTCCATACCCCATGCTGCAAATGGCCAAGAACAAGTTGTTAAATGTAAAGGCTCTGGGGGTTGGTGGAGAAAGTTCCCATGGAATTGGCAGACTTGGCACTTTTGAGCATAATCTATGCAATCTGCAATCATAGTTGGCCAATAGTATCCCAACCATTTTAGCTGCATATGTAATTTAGGACCACTTTGGTGTGCGCCACATACACCTGCATGTATTTCTGTCATTACCTCTTGAATACGCTCCTTGGCTATACACCGTATGAACATTCCATCCAAAGACCTTTTGTATAACGTTCCATCTTTCCACAAGACGAATTTGGTAGCCCTACGTCTTACTTCAATTCTTTTTACTTTATCTTCAGGTAGCCTACCATGTTGGAGGTAAGCCATGAATGGTTCCCGCCAATCCTCCTCGTTTTCTCCTTTCGTGGTGACGACCAAGATTGGAACCAAGTCAGAAACCTCTTTTAAAGGTTGTAACACCCTTCTTTCACCTACCGTGATAGTAATTGTTTTGCTATCTGGTAGGGTGAGTGATGCAGCCAAACTTGCAAGTGAATCAGCTCGAGCATTTGTTCTTCTCTTCACATGGAAAGTGTGTGTTTTCCTGAATTGCGAAAGCAATTGATCAGCCCTTTCATGATACGGGATGAGACTTGTTTTCTTAACAATGTATTCTCCACGAAGTTGCTTTACTACCAGTTCCGAATCTCCATAAATTGAGAGTTCTTCAATAGGAATTTGTAACGCCAATTCTAATCCAGCAATTACAGCTTCATATTCTGCTTCATTATTGGAGCATCCTTCACTTAAGGCGAAAGAATGGGTGATTATAGCATTGTCTGGAGTCACAAACACAATTCCAATTCCAGCTTTATTGTTTTTAGGATTTTCTTGCTTCTTGCCATCTGGACTCCTTGAAGCTCCATCAAAATACATCTCCCATCCTTTCTGAATTTCTACTTGCATAACCTCTTCATCTGGTAAATCAGTTACTAGAGGTGAGTCATCAGGTATAGGATGTGCTGCCAAAAAATCTGCTAGAGCCTGCCCCTTTACAGCTCTTTGGGGAACATATTCAATTGCGAATTGTTGGAGAATTACAGCCCACTTTGCAATTTTCCCTGAAAGTATGGGCCGTGAAAGTATATATTTCAAGGGGTCTGCTCTTGATATCAACCTAACTTCGTGTTCCAAGACATAGTGCTTTAGTTTTTGTAAGGCGAACACCAAGGCAAGACATGTCTTTTCGATAGGGGAGTAATTGACTTCTGCCCCAACCAAAGTACGACTCAAGTAATACAAGGCATTTTCTTTCCCATGCTCATTATGTTGTGCCAACAGTGCCCCTAACGAACCATCCAAGGCTGTTATATACAACAAAAGTGGTTTCCCTTTTGTTGGGCTCATGAGTACTGGAGGCTTCAAAAGATACTCCTTAATACTATTAAAAGCATTTTGGCACTGCTGATCCCATTCAAATGGAACACCATTTTTCATCAATCTTGAGAATGGCAAACATCGACCAGCCAAGTTAGAAATAAATCTTCGGATATAGGCCAATCTCCCTTGTAGCCCTTTCAATTCCCTTAAATTTCGTGGAGGAGGCATTTCGGCAATGGCTTTAATCTTGGTAGGGTCAATTTCAATCCCTTTGTTTCGAACCACAAACCCAAGAAATTTTCCTGATGAAACTCCAAATGCACATTTTAGTGGGTTCATCTTGAGTTTGTACCTCCTCAAACGTTCGAAGATTTTTCTCAAATCTTCCACATGGTTTTCCTTTTCCTTTGTCTTGACGACAAGATCATCAACATAGCATTCGATGGTGTCATGGAGCATATCACCAAAAATTATAGTCATCGCCCTTTGATACATGGCCCCAGCATTTTTCAGGCCAAAAGGCATTACCTTATAGCAAAAGACTCCTCTCGGAGTCCTGAATGCAGTCATTTCTTCATCTTCAGGTGCCATTCGGATTTGATTGTATCCTGAATATCCATCCATAAAAGACAAGGTTTCATACCCAGTAGTTGCATCTACAAGAAGTTCAGTGATGGGCAAAGGAAAGTCATCTTTAGGACAAGCCTCATTGAAATCACGGAAATCAATGCAAACCCTGATTTGACCATTCTTTTTCTTGACTGGCACTATGTTTGCTAGCCAAGTTGGATATTGGACTTCCCTAATGAATCCTGCATTAATAAGCTTGTCGACTTCGGCTTCAATTTGGGCTGTAAGCTCTGGTCGAGTTCGCCTCTGAGGCTGTTTAATTGGCTGTTTCTCAGGGTGAATTGCAAGCTTATGGACTGCAATCTCCGGATTAAGACCAGGCATCTCACTATAGTTCCATGCAAATATATCACGATACTCCCTTAAAAAGGAAATATATTGCCGAGCTTCTTCTTCCTTTAAATTTGCACTAATGAAGGTTGGTTTGTTTTCTCCTTCATCACCCAGATTTACTATAATGGACCTTTCCTTTTCTAGTTGATGGGCTTCAAAACCCTCATCTTTCAAAGAGACTGTTACTTTTGCCTGATGTGCCGCTTCCCTTCTAATCCTTTTCCTTTAGAAGGGACCACAATCTTATTTTATTTCTCAACATAGGTGCATTCTGTCTTCCTTAATGGCAACGTGAACTCACCCTTGAGATCCAAAATTGGATTTATTGGGGCTAGAGCCTTTGCCCCCAGTTTCCTTTTGGACTTTGGCACATATCGAAAAGTTCTTTTTGTTGAAACTGGAGTAGACTCTAGAACGTCTTTGACATTCGGAGTATCTTCAGACTTTTTCACATCTTTTCCCTTCCTTTGTGAAGTCTTTGTGTAGAAGCGAGCATCAGCATAATAGGCCTCTACTTCACCAAATGGATCATTGTCAGCCACAATTGTCCCCTCTTTTTTGGGTGAAGGCAATGGGTACTTGATACATTGGTGATAAGTTGATGGCACTGCATGATGATTATGCATCCATGGTCTCCCAAGCAAAGCATTGTAGGAGGTGTCTACATCAATGACCAAGAACTCATTACTTTCTTCAATATCTCCAAACTTGGTTCGTAGTTCAATCTTTCCCATTGGGCGTTGTTCATTCTGATTAAATCCTTGAATAACCAGACGACTTGGGCTCAGTTGTGAAATTCGAACCCCTAACAAGTTCAAGGCCCTCCGAGGTAGGAGGTTTACCGCAGATCCTCCATCAACCAGAATTCGAGAAGTTTTCACATCATGGATAAGCCCAGTGATAAACAAAGGCCGATTATGGTCTGTCATTTCAGCACACATGTCTTTGTCACCAAAGGTTATCATAGCCATGCATGTAGTTGCCTTCTCTTGACTTCTACCCTTGATTTCTTTGTGGAAATCCTCTGGCTTGGACAGGGCATATATTAAAGACTTTCGAAGCTCTGGAGACATTTTCAGTGCATCATATACGCTCAACAATGCTGGAATTTTCTTTAGATGAGCTAGTACATCATATTTCACTTGCTCTTCCTCCAGCAAAACCTGTGGAATTTCTGACGTTTGAGGGTCCTGAGGATTTCGTAATTTCCTCCGGTAGGTCAAGTAAGTCTGGCATACTTCAACAACCGCCTTTCCGTTGACCTCAACTTCTTTTATTCCCTCACTTATTTGGACCATGTTAACTGGTCCAGCTGCGGGGTGATCATCATCATCAGTCACTTCTCCATCTTCTTGGAGCTGCATTCTTCTCCCATTTCTTAGGTACCGAGAGTCACGCCTATAAAAGTATTGAGATTCTTCAAAACCATTCTTCATGGCCTCCCAACTAGGCACCACGACTCCATCGAGGGAGCAATACCAGTCAAAGGCGATCCCTTCTAAGGAAAGGGGGAATTGTTTTAGGCAAAGTGCTTCATTTTGAGCCGTTTCCCCACATTGTTTCAAAAAACGCCTAATATGTTTTTTAGGATCTCCATACCCCTCATATAGAACAAAATTTGGAAGTTCGTATCCTTCAGGAAATGGTGTTTGCTCCACCCATAAAGGGAACAAATCCCTTGGACGATAAGTGCCCATCTCTCGAAGGTCAAGGGCAGTTTCAATCTTCTCCTCAATTGTGCCTTCTATGAAATCATATGTTTGAGAAGATGTACCTTCGTCATCCAAATGTTCTGACATCTCAATTTCTATTGGCCATGGTTTATAAAATGTCCTATAGAATCGATCAGCCATGGTGTCCCAATCTGGGATTGAATTAGGTGGCAAGCTGAAGTACCAATCTGCCGCCCATCCTTCCAAAGAAAGAACGAACTGCCGTAAAAGTAACGCCTGGCTTTTTACTGTATTTCCACATTGTGCAAGGAAATGAACCAAATGGCGCCTTGGACAACCTGTTCCATTATATAAAGGAAAACGAGGTACTGCATATCCTCGTGGGAACTGAACCCATTCGACCCAATTAGGGAAAGGGTGTCCAGAAATTTGATTTCTTTCAATACTCAAATTTTGATGGGCTTCAAAACCCTCATCTTTCAAAGAGACTGTTACTTTAGCCTGATGTTTCGTTTCCCTTCTAGCTTCAATTTTTGCTTTCTCATCATCACCTGGATTGCGAATGATATGTATTTCTCGCTCTTCAAAATTTACGTCCACAGTGATGACATTACAAGGAAAGTCAAAGTGGTCACTTGACACACTTTCTCCATCGTATGTCCTAGCTGGGGATGTGTATGGTGAATCATCAGAGGAAAAGTCAAGTTCCCAATCTTCATTAGGATCCTCAACTTGAGATGACTTTGCTTGTTTACTTGAATGCTTCCAAACTTCATCATCCGACTTACACCTGCCATTCACCTCATCATCCTTGAAGTGTAGTCGTTTTTTCGCCTTTTTTACAAGCTCAGAGTCAGACCTACACCCAGTGTCTCTTTGTTCTGTTCCCCTTACATATTCTGGAGTGCTTTGATAGTACATTGGTGGTACTGGCGAATACTCTGGAGAAAAGACTTCTGGTGTATACTCTGGAGAAGCTGGTGTATATTCTGGAGAGGCTGGTGTGTATTCTGGAGAAGTTGGTGTATATTCTGGAGAGGCTGGTGTGTATTCTGGAGAAGTTGGTGTATACTCTGGTGAGTCAGGTATACAGATAGGAGATGTAATGCAATCTCCTTCCCTAACTTTTGAACCAACTTCACCCTCATCTTCCTCGTCATCACTCAAAACAATGATGGTTAGGCAAGGGGCCAATGTAAACTTTTCCTCCCTTCTTTTATCAAAGTATGTCTGCAACTCCACAGATTGAAATTTTGAAGGTAGAAATTCCTCCAATGTGACTGGGACAAAAGGACCTTGCTCTAACTGCTCATCAGGGACCAATTTTTCCCCTAATTCTTTCTTTGGATTCTTCTTTCCTTTTCTCTTACTTACTTTGGCTTTTTTCTGTTTCCTAGAAACTTTTGGTTTTTGCTTTTTGGAAACTTTTGGCCCTTGTGTTGTTGAATCAACCACACTTCTAACTTTCACTGTGGCATTTTGTTTTTTCTTCATGCTTTTTGACTGATAAACAATTCATTCACCTTCATTATCACTGTCGATAGTGATTGGGTTAGCAGATGCTTTTTCTTGAAAAGGGAGCTCGATGATCTTAGAGTCCAAAAGTTCTTGAATTTTATCTTTCAGAACAAAGCACTCTTTTATCGGATGACTAATCAAACGATGGTAGGGGCAATACTTTGGATCATTGGTCTTTCCTACCTCATGTGGTCTTTTCACCTCAGGGAGAGCAATCAACTTTTACCCTGAGGATTTCGTAATTTCCTCCGGTAGGTCAAATAAGTCTGGCATACTTCAGCAACCGCCTTTTCGTTGACCTTAACTTCTTTTATTCCCTCACTTATTTAGACCATGTTAACTGGTCCAGGTGCAGGGTGATCATCATCATCAGTCACTTCTCCATCTTCCTGAAGCTGCATTCTTCTCCCATTTCTTAGGTACCGGGAGTCACGCCTATAAAAGCATTGAGAATCTTCAAAACCATTCTTCATGGCCTCCCAACTAGGCACCACGACTCCATCGAGGGAGCAATACCAGTCAAAGGCGATCCCCTCTAAGGAAAGGGGGAATTGTTTTAGGCAAAGTGCTTCATTTTGAGCTGTTTCCCCACACTGTTTCAAAAAACGCCTAATATGTTTTTGAGGATCTCCATAACCCTCATATAGGACAAAATTTGGAAGTTCATATCCTTCAGGAAATGGTGTTTGCTCTACCCATAAAGGGAACAAATCCCTTGGGCGATAAGTGCCCATCTCTCGAAGGTCAAGGGCAGTTTCAATCTTCTCCTCAATTGTCCCTTCTATGAAATCATATGTTTGAGAAGATGTACCTTCGTCATCCAAATGTTCTGACATCTCAATTTCTATTGGCCATGGTTTATAAAATGTCCTATAAAATCGATCAGCCATGGTGTCCCAATCTGGGATTGAATTAGGTGGCAGGCTGAAGTACCAATCCGCTGCCCATCCTTCCAAAGAAAGAACGAACTGCCGTAGAAGTAACGCCTGACTTTTTACTGT